TGGTGACTTTTGGCTTTTGTACTTTGGTTTTGGAATGTAAGTTTTTGTTTTTTTGCAGTTTTTCCAAAGTACTTTTATATAAACACAAGGCGCTTTTACAATAACAAAGCTTTACTGTCGTATGTACTCTTTGAAGAGGGGTTGCCGTTGGTTGAGTTGTATTCCGCAATGCTTGGGCGTCCTGTGTTGTTGAGGCTTCGCGAAGACAACACTGCATGCGCGAAGGTTGTAACAGCTGGCTACTCGAAGAAGCTGAGGCATCTCAAACGCGTACATCGCGTGAGTTTGGCTTCGGTGAAAGAACAGTTGGACCGCGATGACGTGGAACTGAGCCTTGTTGGAACAAGCGACCAGAAAGCCGATGCTTTCACAAAAGCAGTTGAGCCTGCGCTATGGCCCAAAACCCTCCAAAACCTTGGAGTGCACCTTGATGGTTACACCATCAAACACACCTCAGGCAGTGGCCTAGAGCTGGACAAGCAGATGGCTTTGCAGCCAGATGCACCAACGACAGATGTAGCGACAGGACCTCAGGGCACGACAGGCCCTACCCAGCCAGGGTACAAGAAACGGCAGAAACACAAGCCGAAGAGAATACCTCCATACAGTGTACCATAGAGCCTTTCCGACACAGCTGGATAGACCGGGATTCAGAACTGATCCCAAGCCGTCGAGCAGCTCAGGAGTCAGAGGGGGGGAGAAGAAATCCCTCAGCTGAAACCATCACCAGAAGTCGGCCTACCAGGAGATAGACCAAGGTTTTAGCTTTCAACTATAAGTATATATATTTATTGGAATTGTTAATGCATAATCATTATATTTTTGGCCCAGTCGAAATTGTACTTTTTTCACTGGGACCACGTTTATTTATACATAAGCATTGAATTTTTCGACCCCTTCGAAATTGTGCATTTTTAAGGGGTCCAAACTAGTATTATACATGTTTCGAAATTGTACACCAAACTAGTATTCAAACTTTACTCTGAAAGCCTATGCCATTACAATCATTTGTTTCTTGTCCATGACCCTGGTGATGCAAATGATACGACGATGAAAAACAGTCAGGCGTACCCGATATATAAAACTATGTGCTTTCTAGACGCACCTCATGATGCAGAATATGCATTTTTTTCAAACGACAAGGAGGGTCCCCTAGCTACATAGCAATGAACGCATAGTCACCGTTTAAAGCCTCAGCACCTTCGGTGCGGGCTGATTTTTTGTTTGTTTTTGCATGTTTCGATTTTTTGAGCTGTTAACCATTGTTGCTCTTTCTGCTTGCTAATTAATTGCTCGAGATGTTTTGAGACTTTTCGATATTTTAGATATTTTTTCACATGTATTGCATGTAATGTAAAATCTCTTAACGAGATGTTTTTCTTGTGTCATGAAAGTCCTCCATTCTCAGACCACGTGAAAACAACTCTTGCATACATATGCTCATACTTCGCCAGGCATATTCTTCGGCTGTAACGAAAAAATTGTTTGTCGTTTCCATGGTCGAGTGATTGTTCTTGCACCTACTTTTTCCAGTTGTGTTCAATAACTTCTGCGCGTTCATCCCCAAAATTAACTCAATCGAGACTCTTTTATATAATGTTTCCAAGGGTTCCGGACATCGAGGGTCGTTCCGGGGTCCGAAAGAGGTTGAGATTGAAAGGGGCGATGCAGAATGAAACTGCAATTTTGCTGCAACCATCGCGAACCGTCCTTCGTCTTCACATGCTTTGTGGCGCCGTGAAACACATCGACCTGTTGGTCACTCGCAAGTTGCATTTGTTTGCGGTTGCGACATCAACTTTTACAGTAAACATAGTGAATCAGGGTGAGAGAAAGAACGGGTTTCGCAACTCAGGTCTTTTTGTAGGTTTCGTTCCATATCCCAAAGCATTTCCAGTTCACGAAAACATCGCGTGGGTCAGGGTTTTGTTTTCCCTTGTCTTTTTCAAACATTTGGCAAAAACGGGTTTCTCGCTTGGCTTGTTGCGGGGAAGTTTCTGCTTGCGTGTTTTGTCGTTCTTCAAGTCCTGCACGCCCCCGGACTAGCGGCGCTGTAGGCCCAGATGTTCGGTCAGTAGAATCGTGGCTCCCAAAAACACTCCTGGCATTGATAAGCGCCACGAGCATGAACCTCTCAACCTTTGTCAGCGAGTTCCTCAAATCGACCGGGCTCGCGCGCAACCCACCTGTAAACTCCGCTAAGTCAGCAAGTGCCCCGTCATATTCTTTTCCTTGGTCAATGTAGATAGTGGATGGGCTCTCAAAAGGTGACACCCAAGCTTCCCCAAAAGCATTCGCGACTGTGTGGGCTGATCTATTTGGGAGTACCCTAACCACGTGGTGCGTCGATGCCTGACAGATCCACAACAGACATGACCGGCTACTGAGTGTCATAATCGTCCCACAAAAAGATACAAAAAGAAAAGACCCTACCCCCACAAAACTTGATTCAGTGTGCGTAGCTCCTGCGCAAAGGGTGCAATGTGGTGGCTTCTTTGCAGCCGCAGCAACTTCTGGCCTCGCCCTTCCCAATCAGTGTCCCCCTTCGCGTGGTCATGCTCAGAACTGCCCGTCCCCGCCATCTCTTCTTCATGGTCTACATAAAGAAACGGCGCCTCAACATGGTATGTGGTGTCATATCAAAAGGTTGGCGTTACATGCCTGTGCAAAACACCCAGCCGATTGTCCTCTGCTCGTCCCGGCCCATTCCCTTCGTGTGCACGGACTTGTCCTCCGCCGAGGTGATTTCAGCCGTAAAAAGAATATGTTGGCAAAGGGCACAAGTCCACACAGCGCACGCGCTTGAGGGTGACATTTGACGACCTGGCTTGTTTACAGAGCTGTGTTCTGGCCCAACCACAGATATAAAGGATTTAATCCCTCGTTGCTTGTCGTTGCCCCCCTGCAAACGCATTCCAAAACGATGCTATCAACTTGTCCAGGGTATCCTAGAAGACTTGCTGTTTCCATGCAACAGATTTTCGGGGATTCCCAACAATGACCAAACCAGCGGGAAGGGTGCCGTCCAACTTCGTTTGCGTACACTTGCGGGCAAATTCCCGGGATCTGCTTGTTTTCTGTGTCATATCAAAATGTTGTTCTTTTCCCAATTTTCTCCTGTTGAGTGGAGTCATGATGCGGAAGGGGGCTTGAAGGACCCGATGGAGGAGGAGGGTGATAACGTCTGGTTTCGCTTCACAAATCTCACGCGCTAGCGCGCGTTTCCTCTTCAGGGTCAGACAATTCAGTCCCGTACACCCCTATCTCTTTAGCCGACGGCAGCACGTGCAAAGAACTTCTCACTAGCATACAGTTCTAAGTAGTTCTAATATGTTCTAATTATATTCTATTCCTTTTCCAGCACCCTGCGCATTTACCGAAGGCGCCGGATTTACCGTGACATGGATTCACCTTTCGTCTGACACTGTCTGACACTGGATGAAAGCCTCGATCTTCTTCCAAACCACGGTACTCTTCATCCAAAGCACACAGAAGACACCGCACTTCGTCCTTGCCTTTCAACTTCCGGGCGAGGTGGCGTGTCAACTCTAGGGCCTCGCCAGGTTGAGCTGAAGGGCTAAGCCGGCCCAGTCCTGACCCACAAGTTGCGTGTATTGCTTGCAAGACCTGCGATACTCTCGATACTTGCTGAAGCTGCTGCAAAAAGTACGGGGTTTTGACATTCTTTGCACGGTCAGCTCTACGGTATTGCGGTGTCTCAACCGTCGGTGTTTCGAGCTATAGAGGACTGTGAGGAAGTCGTTCGCGAAGAAGAAGTGGAACTCGGTGAAATGGACGGATCGCCGGATCGCTCGGGCCTTCGTTTTTGTCCATGGTCTCTTCTCTCACGCTTCCGGTCTTGTCTGTCAGGAGAGGCTGAGTCCGAAGCTTCAGTTCTTCTTCTTCTTTCTTCTTCTTCTTCATCATCTTTTTCTCCTTCTCCCTTCTTCTTTCCCTTCTGCGTTCCTCGGAATCTCCATTCCAAGAAGGCTCACCACGATCTCAACGATGTTCATGTCTTCGCGAGGCCAAAGAAGCATCGGCAGCTGACTTCGCGAAGTCCTTGTCCTTTTCCCTCTGCTTTCTCTCTTGCGTGGTTGTTCATCGTCCGGCGGCTTGAACCAGCAGCCATGATCATGGCTTACGCAGGCCCCGCCTAGTTTTCGCAACTGAAGCGGCGAAAGGAATGCAACCAATCCCCCTAGAACCAAGAGCGGGCCAGCTCGAGCTGAATGGTCGTAGTCAAGGCTTTCATCTTCACACTCTATTGTTCGATCCCCTTGAAATTGTATATGTTTCAGGGGACTCAACTTATATCTGTCAATGTCATCAATTTTCTTTCCAATCCACTTCTTTATTCACCTGCTGCATGAGAGTACAAAATATGTGTGATCGATTGCGCGGTGCTAAATTTGCTGGCGTTCTTTGATGTAAGTTGGACACCCCGAAAAAAATACTACATCAAGCAGGTCAAAAAATAGAGCTGATTTACAATACAATCAACTTTCTAATATGCATGATGACCTAGAGATGACAAGTACCATACTGTAGATTGATCTCATTAATACCCTAGTACTTTATTGTCACCCGGTCCATGAAAGGCACATAACAAACAACTCCGACTCCTTTCAACAACTTGATTCGTTTCTTATTGCTGCACTGCAAACGGCGCCGCCAGAGCCAACTCTCTAAGAGCTCAGGGTTCGCACCTCAACACAATCACGCCCCTCAGCACCTTCGGGGCGGGCGGGGCTTCTGATGTTTCCCACTATATATGCAAATCTGTTTGCTCACTTGTGTGTCTTGGCACCTTGCGGTCTACTGAAACAGCCTTGATGTTTTAGCTCACTTTTTTGCGCTTCCCTCGCTTTTCGTGCCGGATGTACTTCCCAGGTGAGAAGCCTTCCAGCTTGGAAGATGCCTTGGCCAGCCTCGGCGCAGCTGAAGCCATCGAAGAGGGTTTCTTAGATTATAGCACGCAGCGGCTCGCCTCTATTAGTATTTGGGGCTTTTGCATAGTCCCACTCACTAACCCAACTCAACCAACTGAGACGTATCACACGAAGGCTTTGCGGGACCAAAATCATGTTGTACTTCAATGTGCAAGCTGTGGGAGTCCAAGAGCTGCCAGCCACTTGTGTAAACCATGCTTCTGAAACGTCAATAAATGAACTCCAAGGTTAGAGGAGGAGTATGAACGGCGACTCCTGATCCAACGCCCTTTGTTTGGCATGAGTCTGACTTCTGCGGAAGAAGCAGCGGACTTTGCCAAGGGCGCCCTCGAGGAGTTGACAGCGTTGGCGTACACGGTGGCGCACCCAGCAGGAGGCAACCTGTCTCAGCATTTCCTTTGGAAGGTTTGGTAATTGATTGCTGCGGGTTCATTCTGCGGCGCTTTTAAATACAGTATTGTTTGTGCCAACCTCTCAGCAGAACTTGGAACTGTTGCTGCGCGCTGCCAAATTCTACATCGCTGTGCTAACTGAAAGCTAGGTTCATCAGTCGCACCTCGAGCGCCCACACTCTTCATTGCTTCCCGAAACTGTTGGCTTTCAATGGAGCCTTCGAATGGCTTTGCGGTGCCTATAAAGACATCTTCTATGTATAGTCACATGATGTCACATGCTTGAGCGCTTTCTAGGGCGCGGCAAAGGCTTTGTGCAGCCTGTCGGGACGGCGGTGGGTTTGTTTTGGCTGGACCATTGGATGTATTTGTCTTTTTATTGCCGGATTCTTTTTGTGGTAGTTTGTCCTGGTCCTGGCTTCAGCTTCTGCGGCTTTTGACTTTTAGTTGCTTTTCTACGGCTTTCGGCTTTTGGTGGCTTGTGTGGCTTTAGGCTGGTGTTTTGTTGCGAGGTGGTTTGGCTTTTGATGGCTTGCTTTTGGTGGTTCTCGTTGATATCTCTCGTCGGGTGCAGGTACTTCCACAAACTCTAGAGCTTGAGAATCAAGTGTCGTTTTGACACAGAAGCCTTGGACCGGAAGCATCTCTGGAATCCCATCTGGTACTTCGAAGGTGATTTGGGCTGGAGAGCGGAAGGCCTGGGCTGGTCTCCAAAGCCCTTGGACATACATACGTATTGCAATTCCCAAGTCCCAAGTCAGAGGTTTCTTCGTACGGCCACTGGGATAGTGGATGTGGAGAACGCGCGGGACAACCACAAAGCCTGCGCTTGTGAAATGGGCTCAGAGCCAGCAATCCCTATATAATATTTGCATATATTTGCAAAGATGTTCACAGAATACCAACCACACCGCCAGCACCCCCCCTGGCCAGGAGCATCACAAACCAATCCAATGGAGGTAGGTAGATCAAGGGAAAAGACTCTTCAGGAATCAACATATCCGTAGAGGCAAGACCCAACATTGCAGCTGCTGCTGTTGGAGGTGAGACCAGAGCTAGCCTTGCAACATCTTAGAACCCTCAGCCCGAAGCTCACATGTTTTCGTGTGGCAAGAAAGAAGAAGGCGGGCTTTCTGGCTTGTGACACCTTCTGAAACTGGAGTTCATGATCTGATCAAGCTTGATCGCTTGCTTCGGTTGGAGTCTTGAGGCAGCCTTGCTCACGTTTGGCATGATCATGTTAAAGATGCCACTGTGTGCTTCTTTTGATGACACAAGAGTGTCGATGTGGACCAAGGGGGAAGGTGGTTTGCGCCAGTTTGTGTTCAATCGACTGGCACCGTTGCGGCCCAACTGTGTGTGTGTGCTCGCGCATGATGCTCTCACAATTGCACGGTGCACGGCAATGCGCAAAGCGGTTTGAAAGATTGAAGTTCAATTCGTCAATTGGTTGGCAACATTTTGGGGCCCTGGGCAGGATATGTGGAACTGGGCCCAGAGCCTTCTGCCATACGCATGTCCAGATTGTATCGACAACAGCAAGAACATGGCCTGGTGTTTGATGACTGGGTTCCTTGACCGGCAGGGTTGTGCGAAAGTTTTCAGCATTTGCCAACCCCCCTTTCAGGCATGGAACCTTTTGGAAGTTATATAGATTGAACATGTGGTTTCAATTTGGGAATTTCTGCCACAGGCTGCAGTGGTTGGTGGCTGTGAGGCCACCCTGATCTTCCCGAAGCTGGAAGATGTTTATCAAGCGCTCGCAGATCCTTGCTTTGCGAACTAGCTCCTCGATGGTTCCGCAAACCCTGGAAGGCAGCTGCAGTGACAGCAAGGGCCACATAAGGGTGTGGCAGTGATTTTGAGTCACACAGTTTCAACATGCTGCTGCTAAGCTAAGGACTTAGAAAAAGCAAAGAGCTGCAGCATTAGAGGAGAAGCGCAATCGTACGCCAAGAATTTTGTCGCATTGTTTTCCCGCAGTTCAATCCATACAACCAAGGCTGCCCAAACCCATCCCGGGTTCACAAAACTGTGATGCAGGTGCATGCATCGATCGAGCGATTTGGATCGGCTGAACTCCATTGCTTGCTACCGTTTAGGCTGCTTTGTATGATTCATAGATCCTCATACAGTACTGTAGTCTCCAAGTTCCTCTGAAGAGGTACTGCTTGGCCAAATACGTGATTACGGCCTTGAGGTGTTCAACCATGCCAACCCCCAACCAAAGCGTGGCATTGGCGCGAAGTTTGATGATATCCAAGTGCCAACTTAGACCGCGCAAGATTTGCGCATTCGATAGATGTCATTAATTCCAGCTGCTGACGTGACACAGAAACCTAAAGCACACAAGTACTGTAGACATTCCAAATGCTACTCCTTGTGGAGAAGCGCTGAGCTGGATTTTCTTTAACCTGATAAACCTTTGCAGCGGAGTCCATCAGGACAGGACGCGAAAAAAATAAGTAGATTAGCCCGGCAAGAGGCCCCAAACAGTGTGTGTGAGGTCTAGAGTCTAGAGGTGTAGCAGCAGAAAGTCTAGAGATCTAGACGCACGGGGGTCCAGAGAGGTGATGGTGGTGATGAAGGTGGAGATCGTGGTGATGGTGGTGAGTGAGTGAGTGAGTGAGTGAGTGAGTGAGTGAGTGAGTGAGTG